ATTTTGTTGAGCATTTTTACATCAGTGTTCATTAGAGAGAATGGTCTGAAATTTTCTCTTTCTGTGTTTTCTTTGTTAGGTTTTGATATTAGTGTGATGCTGGCTTCATAGAAAGTATGTGGTAGTTTTCCTTCTTTTTTCGATTTTTCTGGGTGAGTCTGTGTAGAATAGGCCCTAGTGCTTTTCTGAACATTCAGTAAAATTCATTTGTAAAACCATCTGATCCTGGGTTTTTATTTTTGAGGAGGGTTTTGATTACTTCCTCAATTTCCTTGCTTGTAGTTGGCCTGTTTAGTTGTTCTATATCTTCTTTATCTAGATTTGGGTGGTTGTAGAGTTGTAGGAATTTGTCCATTTCTGCTAAATTGTTGAATTTGTTTGCAGATAGTTGTTCATAGTATTCTCTGATTATTCTTTAGATTTCTGCTGGATCTGTTGTGATTTCTCCTCTTTCGTTTATGATTCTGTTTATTTGTGCTTTCTCTTGTTTTTTCTTTGTGAGCCTGGCTAGTGGCTTGTCTATCATGTTTATTTTTTCAAAGAACCAACTTTTGGTTTCATTGATTTTTTGGACTGTTTAATTCTTTTGAATAATCTTCTTCACATGGTGTTCTTGTTTCTTGGATATTTACTTTCATCTCCTTCTACAGATAAATGAAGTTCTCTTGTATTATCTCTATGAATATTTTCTCAATTCCTTGGCCTTTCTCTTCACCTTCTGGGATACCTATAACTCTGATATTTCCTTTTCTCATGGTGTCAGCTATGAAGTGTTTCTTCATTCCCTTTCCTTTTTATTTCTTTTTCTTTTTCCATTATGATTTTCTTTATTTCTGCATCTTTGAGGGAGCTGATTCATTCTTCCATTTCATCTATTCCATTTTCATTACTTTTACCAGAATTCTTTATCTCCTCTAGTGGCTTTTCATCTCCTGCATTTCTTCTATTTCTTTTTTTTTTTTTTAAGATTTATTTATTTGTGTATACAGAACTGGGGTACAGGCTAGAGGCTCAGGGGTGGTCAGAGGCTTCACCAGAGACAGAGTGGGGAACAGAACAGGCAGATTGACGAAGTACACTGCAGCGGGCGGGTCAGGAGAGGTCTGCCACACCATGTGGTCACCTCCAGGGCAGGTGGGAATCGAACTCATGCGGAAGCGGCTTTAGATTCTCAGTGCTGTGCTTTAACCCGCTGCACCACCAGGGAGGGCCCTCTTCTATTTCTTTTTTTAATGTCTTATTTTCTTTCTTCAGTTCGTTGATTGCTTGTCTCATATCTTTTTTTTTCTTTTTGATTTCTTTCATTCATTTAATTGTTTGCATTCTTCAACTCCTTGATGGCTTGCCTCATATCAGTGTTTTTCCTTCTCATCTTCTTTTTGTTTATCATGATGATTCTGAATTCTCTACCTGGTGGGCTTAACAATTCTTCTATTTCTTTGGTGGTTTCTGGTGACTGATCTTTTTGTGGTAAATCTTCCCCCGTGGACTTGCTTGAATATTTGCATGTCCTCTTTTTCCTGTCATGTGTTGCCTAATACTTTCTATTCATTGAGACATGGTGTTGTTATTATTGACCGACATTCTTTCTGGATGTTCTTTCTGGGATGGCAGAGGGACTTCCAGACACTTCACTTTTGGAGGGTATTCTGAGCCTTGTTTTGATTCAATATCTCCTGTTTTTTCAGCCCCCATATGTGGAACTATGTCTGTCATCTCTGCCAGTGACAATCAGAGGTCTTTGGTTGTGTTCAGCCTCTTCTGTTAACACATTGAAGCCTTGTCTCTGGAAGGTGCCTGTTGATCTTTGTAGCCTCTGATGTCCCTGGTTCCCTCTATGCTTGGATGCAGAGTTCGGGGGTGGGGCACATAAGTGTGGCAGCTGGGCCTATAGTTGAGCCAGTCACTGGTTTTTATTTTCTGAACACTTTGAGCCTTGCAAGGCAGTGCCTTTCTGGCTCACATGTCTTCCATCCACTGCTGTCCAGTAACACCTTGTGTCCTAATTCTGCATGCCTCCCAGTTATTCAGGCTGCCAGTCCTCCCTCAGGGCCTCCAGGACTCTTTGTGCCCTCTCAGAGCAGTCTCTCCCTGAGCAGTCTTTCCCTATCACTTGGGGGAGTGTTAATGGGCCTGTTTTTAATTCAGTCTAACCGTTTTTTTGTTGTTGTTGTTGCCTTTTTTTTTTTTTAAGATTTATTTATTTGTGCATACAGAACTGGGGTACAGGCCAGAGACTCAGGGGCGGCGAGAGGCTTCACCAGAGACAGAGTGGGGA